AGTCCCTCCCCCGACCAAGGCTCAATTTTTGGGTATCCAACACGAAAAATAGATCACAAAAAATTAGAGGTGCATACAAGAGCGATCCACCAGGTTTACTGGGAATGCGAGGTTATAACGAACAAAAGATGTCCCTTCAACGAATCAATAAGGTTGAGATCAACACCGTCAAGGGCAGAGAAATGCCAGAAAAGAAATAAATTGGAAATATCAAGTTCTATCAAGATCAACCTCGCTTTCTGATGATGTTCAGTAAGCCTCTCCAATTCCTTTTTGATAGCCTTGTAGCCTTCATCCGATGTCTGAAAAACTCCTCAGCAAAAAGAAAAATTGTAGAACTATCTAGATTATCAACGAATATCAGAGTTCGCAAACATGGAAAGTTTACAAACCCCTAACGCTTACGAATGGAAACTACTTAAAGTGCTCACAATCTCGGGAAGATCGACGTCTGCCAAGCGCCCGGTTAATCCACCCAGTTTTGCTCCGGCTTCTCGGGCTAGATCACCAACTTCTGAAACACGAATTCATTCTATTGATTCGTCCACCTACTTTTCATATTGGGGTGCTCGCTGACTTGTTAATGATTCAAGCAGTTTCGGAATTGCATCTGGTTGAGCAGTCAATGCAGCATTTCTTTCGAGTAACATGTCCGGCAGAACAGTTCCAGTCGAATCCGCGTCCAAGTCAATTTCGTCGATTCGTAGAGATACGAGGAATGAACTGGAAAAAGCAAAAGTTCCCAATTTTGTTGATGACAAAGCACTTATGGCTTACTTCAGCTCTTCATTTCGTCGGTCTACTCGTTCCATGGTTTCGCGTTTCAGTTTTGCTTTCTCCTCTTCGTATTCAGACACCGCCTTGATAACGCCTGGAGGCAATAAGCCGCCAAACAGATCTTCCCCACCTACAGAAATATCTAGCGGATCGAACGAAAGAGGTCGCACCTTGCAAAGCCCCTGAAAAAATTGAGCTGAATCGAGATTAAAAAATAGGAACGAAACTAACAATCTTACAATAAGATTACCTCTAGATCTTTGCACAACTCTTCATTTCCCGGAACTCGTTCATGGTAGATGAATTCGTTTTCCTTCTTAGCATTTCCAAGTCTAAAACTCATAAGGAAGTGGGACTAATCTTTACAGATCTCTAAAACCGCCGAGAGAAAGTAATCAAAGTTAACTCACTTTGTACCGACGACATCAGACAGAAATGCGATAGACGCTCTCATCGTGTCTCGATCCTCTTTCTCTGCAGATTTAAAGACGGCATTTAGGTGCTCGTTGGCGATTTTGTAGTATCCATACCTAGAAAAAATCCTCCAAATCGCTCAAGAAATGAATATTTCTTGACAATTCAGACAACACTTACCTCGCCCCCATCCTCTTATCGTCATCAGCTTGACAGCCCAAGTGGATCATTGCTATGCAACCGTACATTTCGCTCTTTATCGCGCATGTTCTCGACCATAGCTGAAGCAGATCAATGGCGAAAAAAAGCTCGTGATAAACAACTAGTTCGTGTTCACCGATCGTTAAATTGAAATGGCGGTTTATCTTTTTTTTAACCAACAAAGTAGCAGATTAAACGTAGGAATGGAAGCAAGGAGAAAAAACATTATATTCCGAACATTCTTCAGCCAAGCTAGGAGTAATAAAGTAGTTTTAGCCAATGACAAAAGAATCCAGTTCTGGAAGAAACTGAAGAGCAATGTAAAATTATCTCCCAACGAAAAGACTTTTTCATCACAACCTGCATTTAATTCATAAATTACCTTATATTTTTGTGATGAGACGTAATCGCAAAGGTTCGAGTTTTCGAGATGTCGAAAGCATTCCTGATATCTGTCTCGCAAGTGAATCGCCAGTTTTGCGACCACTAGATTGCTACGATGGTCAATGAGACTTTTTTCGAGTAAGCACTCTTGAGCTTGGCCCTGAATATGCGATATGCCACTACTGAACATGCGATAAGAGCTCCAATGCAACCACACAAGAGCAATTACTGACACTCTTGTCGCACTTCTCACGGCCTCAAAGAGAAAACAGAGCAAAAACAGTAAAAAGAAACATAGAAAGATAGCCGCAAGTTTACGCCCACACCATTGAGCGAAAAAACGTTAGCAGTCATTGCGCCATCTACGAAGCCATACTTTGAGTAGGCGTCAATTATCACCGCGCTTTGAGGGCACATGCAGCGTATGTATGCATAAAACAGCATTTTAATAACTCTGAAAAATTCTTATACAACAATCTGCGATGATAGAAAATAAAGTTCCAACCGAACGCGCTAGCTTGAGACAACAAGTCGCCCAAAATAGGTTGTGTTGGAACAATGTATCTTGTTGGTAGATAAGAAGCACACTGAGTTCACAGTTTGTTTGCCGTTTTTCATTGCCCGAGGTGCGCGCCGCTCAAATCGTCTAGAGTCCTAGCAAAATGAAGCTCAATACAGACGGCTAATACTGAGATAACTGACGAATATCCTTTCCCGCTTCACATCCCGAATGAACGCGACGTGGATTATGTATCACAAAACGTAGATTTCAACGGCCCGATTGGAACAAGCCAAATTCAAACAAACTGGCTTCTCGGACGCGCCTTCCATCCTTCCAAACAAAGGGAGGCAGTCCTTGTTTATCACTCGACCGGCGGTAATGCTTCGCATCATTTTTTATTTCGGTAACTCATGATTCAACGTTGTTGCGACCCCCTATTCCGCAGTTCCCAACTTATCTGGGAGTGTTCAAAACATGACGATCAGTGAAAACGCATCTGTCTTCTTAGTGAAAGCAGCCCCAAACAACTTACGTCCTCGTTCTCCCTTCTTCTTATAGCTATTGCTAGCAGACCTGCGCCATTGTACATTACGCAGGCTAATTCGAAACCGATGTCATCGTAGGTGGCAGAATGAGCGATATCCATAGCTCTGTCGTACCTACATGGGTTAAGATAGTTCATTGCTTTAGTAAATCTCTCGAATGAGAGGGTGTAAATAAGATGCATAGCATTATCTAACTGCTCAGTACCAGTTTTTTAACGCAAAACTTTGAACTGCATTGTTATCACCCATGTGAATCATGGCATTTTCGGCACAACCCTATGAGCAACTGATAGCTTACGTTAACCGAAACCGTATGAATCTCCGGGAAAAGGCAAATCATACAAATCACAATCACGGCATACTTACCAGCAGAATAGAACTTTTATTGGATCACCTTCCTCCATAGGAAATCGGTTCTTCATCATTAATAGCTGGGCATAGTATCGTTTTAGCAAACAAGCAGTCTCCACATCGGCGTAAGAACTGCTTATCTTCTGAAATTATAGGGGTAATCTGAACCCACTGAAATACTATCTGTATCAATAGTATTGTCTCGAAAAACGGATCGGTAATGGTGAGTATGTGCCCAGAAGTCAAGGCGCGACGTCGCATCACTGGCGACTTCGAATTTTACGCCGATGTGCCCCGTACTCTGCGCACTTAGATAGGTGTCAGACTCCCCGTTTGCTGTCCGACGGCGCTGTAGCGACAGCAAAGTGCAACCGCGACTGTAGTAGGCACCTAGCGCATATCATACGATCAATAACTTGCCATACTCGCGACTGCACTTTGTAATTACGACAACGATGTCGTGGTTGCACAACTGCGACAGCAAACTCGAAGTCTACCTAAACCTTGTGTGCAAGACAGAGCATCTGTAGCGGAGATGTTTGGGCCGCAGGAACACATAACACCTGATTGAGCCACTCGCCCACTAAAAGGTTTGAACAAAAATCGTAATCATGGCAACGTACCTGCTTCAAATTCATTATTTCTGATATAGCGTTATCATATTTACTGGGATCATCTTGGAAATGCAGAAGAATATACTGAAAAAAAAGAGAATTATTAGGTCGTTGCAAAAGGAATGGCGTTTTGGGTTCAAACAAATTGTGTTGAAACAGCACCTTAGATAAGAAGTGGATCTCACCTTATTCT